TATTTTTATAACATAATATGAATTAGGAAAAAAAATGTGGCATGAAATGGGTGCTATTATTGTAAGAATGGTGATTATTTTTTGATGTTATTGGGTGTTGTTAATCTAAATTGAGAAACTAAAAATAAAATTCTTGGATCTGATTTATGATTTATTTAGAATTTTACAAAAACTATAAACAAAAAATTAAATTAAACTAAATTTAGATTGACTTTGATTTTTTAAACAGAAGTTTAGAGGATATGTCCTGATCTATCATAAAGATTTTAATCAGAAGTGTGATGCATATTGCAACTCAAAATTAGAACCATTGTCATAGTTTTTTTTGTATAGAGTGATTCAAAGCAACAAAACGTGGCCAAATACAAATAGAATTGTGGAATGAGATAATAGACAATGATATGCAGTAAAATAACAAGGTTTTGCAAGGTAATGGACAAAGTGTGATATAGAGGTTTGCAAGAGGTGAATAATAATAGAGCAAGGTTATAAAGATTATATGAAGTAGTATATTTTAAGGTATGATTAAATTTTAATAGGTGGAAAACAGATTATAAAGTCATAATTAATCAAATTTAATAAAATAAGTAAATAATAAGATCATAAAAAGTAAAATTATAATATCAATTTTTTAAAAATACATATCTAAAAATAAATTATTTATATTTTATTAAAATAACATGTTATTTCACAACATTTAAGATTTTGATTGCATACAATGTACATGAATTTGTTTAAAGTATTATCATGTTCAATACAAAAGGCTTAACTCTTAAAATTTTGGTCATAAAATTTGCAATTTTGTATGATTCATTCCAAATTTCATGTACATTAGGCCAAATATTTGGTCTTTGGTCATTGAACTCAAGCTTTGATATCAATGATATCTAATAATTTGAGCATAGAAATGTCACAAACATCTCATCCATCCACAACTCTAAAACTTATTAAGACTTTTTGTTATAATAATAATAATAATTATACAACATATAAATAAACAAAAAGAACATATAAATTCATCCATATATTTTCCAATGCCTAAACAACAATCACCCATTACTAATCATTCAATCCCACAAACAAAATAACTGAAATAGTAACAAAAAACTTAGTGATCACATTCAAAAATTTGGCAAAACCAAACAAAATGTCACCTAAGGACACAATATGCATATATTCATTCATTTATTCTTCCTCCTCATCCTTGTCCTTTTTCCATACATCATGTGTGTCCTCCCACACCATAGCACACCCTCTCATGCACATTCCCCATCACACGCTCCTCCACGATCCCACACTAATCCATGTGTTGATTGATTGATTGATTAATTGGCATCCGTGTGCCTCATTGCCATGCTTCAAAACACACTTTCACACTCACAAACCACATGAATGAGTAACATAACGAAAGAAAGAATGAAATCCTCCACCACCACCACCACCTTCACAACTCACTGTGAAGGTGGAGTTGATCTATCTATCAATCTACACCAGGCAAGCCAATCAATCAATCAATCAATCAAACAATTGGGTGTGCAGTGCAATGCAGAGTGAACACATGCACACACACACACACACATGTAGAATCACCAAGCACTGTTGTGCACCAGCCATGCAATACAGTACAATACAACACTACACAACACAACACATCCAAAACAGTGCAATGCAAGTATAGCAATACCAACCCAAGTGGACAGATTCAAATCAGGCTGCTTGCTGTGCTGTGCTGTGCTATGCTGTGTTTGTGCCCCACCCCACCCCATTCTAGTAATAAACCAGCTTTGGGCTGCTGCTGCTAAGGCTGCACAGTGATTCCAACTCTGGGTGTTGCCAGAAAGCCCACGTCTTGCAACGGGAAGTGTGGAGAAGGAGAGGAAGAAAGAAAGAAACAGAGAAACAGAAAGGGAAGGGAAGGGGGGAAGGAAGGTGGCGTGCTTTTGACCCCTACTACTACTACTACGACTACTTCTGTGCACCTTGTCAGAGTTTTCTTATGGCTACCCATCTCCCACGTCAGGTGCTCTGTTTGTTGTGTACCACCAATTAGGGTTTTAGGGTTCTGCCCTGCCTTTTGCTGCAGTCTCTGTTCC